AAAAAAAAAAAAAAAAACTAAACAAATAATTTAAGGAGATACTAGCAAATTTTAGATTCTTTAAATTTCAGTTCAGCTGCCCCTCTTTCACTTTTTGCTCTTCAAGTCCTCCATCTCTTAAGCAATTGCACAAGAAAAAATGGAAGTTTCTTAATTATTGCCTCTTTCTTCCCAGGAAACTGCCTGAAAAGCAAATAAAGTTTGCCTCTTTCTTAACATATATTTTATCATACTATAAAAGATACTGTAAATTAAATTTATTATTTTACACATATTACAAAATCTTTAAAATCCTAACCATAAATTTTACTCATCAAAATTTTATGTGAAAATGGTATTTTGATATTGTGACAAAAAAAAAAAGAAAAGAAAAGAAAAGAAAAAACTCACCAGATTTTCCTTTTGTGGAGGATTTGAAGAAACCAAAATGCTTTTTTGTCCTGGAATATTCACCCTGAACATAAAGGGCCATGTTAATAAACCATTATGTCGGGGTTTGTAACTGTCAGAGACAATTGATCTAACGGTTACAAATCTCGACGGAAGTAGTATCTTCCGAAAAATAAACCAAGAAAAACTACAATATTTTCATTTTCGAAATATATATAAAAATTATAATTACCTCCAAATTCGCACCGGAGTAGACTTGTGAGTACTCATGAGAAGAAGGAGCCACATTGTCCTGAAACTCAATAATAACCATAAAAATCAATCCTTAATAAAAATAAAATAGTTTTTCTAATTAACGCGCATTTTTTGTTTTTCGATTTGATGAATTACACATGTATATATATATATCTAACGCAATCAACACCACAAAATTTGATCTCAATAGCACGTGTTACTCATTAAACATGGTGGCAAAAAATAAAAAAATCAAGAAATTATTATATATATTTTTTTTAAAAAAATCTATTAATATAGATTACCTGAGAAAAATCATAAATCGGGGAGCTGGCAGTGTCATCAAGGCACAAATTGTGGTGTTTCTTGGACCTAGAAACCGACTCTTTTGCGTTGCTCTTGTTAGTAATATTGTTTGTATCCTCGTAAAAAGAAGGCGTGTAATAGCCGTAATATTGAGAATAAACAACAGCATCAGCAGCAGCAGCAACAGCAACAGTAGCATCGTTCGGGTGAAAATGAGGTGGCCCGGATGATGCATCCGAAATCATCGACATATCTTCATCATCATCGTGTTGTACTCGATCGTGCTCCTTCACAAATTGTCCGTTTTTATCTTGGTATTGATGATTGTAGTTGTGATGATCGGTTGAGTTCGAAAGTTGATCCAAATACATGGTCCATCCCGATTCACACCCACTGCTATATTCACAACTTGATAGATTCATTATCAAGCCTTAATTTCTATTTTTTTTAAAAAAAAGACTTGTTGTTTTGTTTGTATGAAGTTGTAATATAAGAAAAGGAGATAGAAGAGATGAAATAAATAAGACTCTATCAAAATGCGTAGGACTTATATTTTTGGCTTGCCACTATCCCTTGAGCCCACCACTATTAATATATCTGTTTTCGAGAAGAATCAAGCTTGCCAGTTGTCCTGCTCACTGTGGGG